TAAAAAATTGTTTTAAAAACATTATTTTAGTTTTTGAGAAATTTTTTCACGTGTTGAAATCTTTATACATTTTATTTCAAGTTAGCATTCTCTCGGTTTTATCTTTCGAGAAAATAGGGACTAGAAATTATATTTTAATTACTAGTCGCGGATTTTTGGTTAGTATTACTATTAGTAAAAAAAAAAAAAAAATCAGATATCCTCCTTAGTGGATGATATCAGAATAAAAAATTTTTATTTTACTTAAATATTCCCCTCTCTCAATTGATTTAAAAGAACTGTTCGGAAAGAAAATTACAATTAAAAAAAATAAGCACTTCTGTATCCCCATTTCCAGAAGGCATGGGGTGGGGGCACGCGGTTGAGAGGCACGGGGTCGTAGGCACCAGTCCTGTCGATTATTATAGTTGATGATCATACTTATTATAAAACCCAGGTTATGTGTGTGTGTGTGTCTGTTCGTTTATATATTGGATCGGATTTCCTACATTTTTCAACCGATTTCAACAAAACTTCACAGGACTACGTTTTTTTTTTTTTTGCGTAATACACACCGCATCGGCCATACAAATACACGATGTATTTATTAATTGATAACTGATAATTTGACATTGGTTTAAATGGCCATAAAACAGTTTTGAAAAAAATGGCAGCGGGGGCAAAAAAGCCCCCCCCCCCGTAAGGGATTTTGCGGGTATGACGAGCCGGCTCTTAGCAAAACAAATTCAGATTTAAACGAAAAAAAAAAAAGACCCCAAAATGATGTCAAAATCCGAGAAGATTTTTCATCCTTTAATAGCAGTGACATACAGAAGTTTTGTGATCTTTGGTGAGTTCCGGGGGCCAACTCCTTGATTGTATGCCCCTAAGACTTAAGTAGGTGGGGACTATAGGACCTAGAACTGAGAGATGTGAGAAAGGAAGACATTTGAAATATGTAAAAACAGATAATGCTTGAAATAAACATTTTATTTAAATTGAATATAAACTAAATTTTTATTTCACTCTTTGATTGGATGCCGTTGAGATACAGATGCCCCGGGGGGCGTCGCACACTCTGCCTCCACCCTTCTGCCCGCTACTGTTTAATAATCAGTTGTGCTTAGTTTAATTTGTAACGTATATAAATGTAGATAGTAAAAAAAGCAATTGTTGATAAGATAGCGAGGGTCACAAAACACTGTCCAGGACACCCAATCAGGCTTACGCCACCCCCACTCGCGGTCGAGTGATTCGAGAGTAGTACGCACCGATCTTGGGTACCTCCAAAGAAAAGCGATACCTAAGGTTTAAAATAATTTTTTTTTTGTTAATGATAAATCTTTTTTGAAACCTTTATTTGACTTTCAATTTCAATCTAATAGATTAAATTTAGTATTTCCAATATGCAAAATAATGTACTACTGTATTTCAAAACGAATTTAAATTGACTGGAAGGAGTATTTTTAATTCGTTAAAAATGGCTGATTTTAGACATATTTACACTTCTCTCATTTTCTTTATTAAAAAATCTTTCAAAAATAAAATATACTTTTCTGAAATTTACTTGCGGAACTTTAGTTGATTTAAAGTTTAATTAATTTGATTTAAAACAATTATTACTTTTAGTTTAAAATATCGCAGAAAAACATTTTTTAACACGGAGGTGAATGCTTTTATGAGATGTTGATAATTATTTCGATAGACTTATGTTTGGAAATTTCTCTAAGGGGGTCAAATCTATAAAAATTACTTGATTTAACGAGAGCGCCTTTATATATATATATATATATATATATATATATATATATATATAACTACTCAGTAATCTTTAAAATATATTAAAATATTCTAAGATTAGTGTGTTGTCTACTTAAGTGGTTTCTACGAGAATATTTTCCATGAAATATTGGTAGCGAAAAGGTATATGCAAAAAATAACAGAGACCGAGAAGTGTGAGAGAAGAAACTGTTAGCATAGAATTTACGGTTACATCATCGCCAATTCGACTGTAAATTGGTGAGACCTAGTCGCCAGTCTAGTACGTGTCCAGAAACTTAATTTTATCCAATGCTCTCCACACAAACCCCACCGATAACGACAGGAACAGTTGACGCGGTATTTTTCTGAAAGTCCACCACCAGGTCTTTTGTCTTTAAGGTGTTTAAAAGCAAGGTTATTCTCTGAGTTCCATGAAACAATCTTTTTATTTTACTGCTGTACTCGGCCTCATTACCTAGCCCTCCACCCCACCAATTAAACGAGTTCGACCACAGTGTCGTATGCAAACTTAATGATTATGTTAGTGAGATGGGATGGTTGAATTTGTTTAGTGGCATATCAACCTCTATGAGTTATTTAATGACCAAATCTAAATATCCCGCAATCAATTTTATGCATTCAAGTATAAATACTTTGTACACCATTTTATACACTCAGAGTAAAGGTTTTTAGATGTATAGTTTGTAGATCATAAAATGTATTGTTGGTTTTTTTATATATAAATATATATATATATATATATATATATATATATATATATATATATTTGTGTTACATTGTCCCTTTACTATAAAAATGTACTGTTGATTTTTGTGTGAGGGTTTACTATTTCCCCATAGCTGGGGCCCTGTGCTAAGTGGGTCAAGATGGATCTGGGAACAACAACAGTTAAAAGTTGGTTCCACGTCCCTTAAACCCTCTCAATCTCCCGATCAGAGGCCTTGCTGCCGGGCGTAGTTTATCGTCATACCCAGGGCGCGTAATCACAAGTGTAGATTGTGTACAGAAGGGGGCTTAATTCACATCTTTGTGCTAAGCCTAAGAGTGTGTTAGAGGTTCGGGGCTATTCTGACTGTGTCGACGATTTATGAGAAAGTCCTTGGCTTAACCTAACGACAGATGGACTGAAATAGTACTAGTCGTGCGAGCGTTGTGACCAATCTGCTCGGGATGATCGTGTTAAAAGCAGAGCTGAAGGCAAAAAAAGTAATTCCTACATAACTCCCTTTTTTTCTCTCTAAGTGAAAAGCAGTAGCAATGGCATCTTCTGTCGACCTATTCGCTCTGTATACAAAGATAAATTCCGTATCTTTTGTATTAGTTACCAATAATTGTCGCTAAACAATTGTAGATTGATTTCATTGTCGTAAAGGAAAGTTTTATCTAGAACGCGCCCTTTCATTCGGGCCTTCGGCTTTTTACCTTCAGCGTCCTATGTACGTAAAAGTTATAAGAATTTAGAAATAATAAAATTATTTTATTTTTATTCGACACCTTAATTCGGCATAATCTTTCTTCGTATACGCAACCGATCTCCGTAGTTTGTTTACATTTATTTTGCGTGCAATTTTTATTTTCTTTTAAAATCACCATTCTTTATGATCACTTCACATAAAGTCCCTTTTAAAAGACATTAGGGAACCTGAACTATATAATATTTCGAATACTTCACAGTACGCGCGCTAGAAAAAGAAAAAAAACTTATAAACAACGTATTGTGCGCGCTTATGTTTTAATTACGGTTTAATAAGACGAGTTCAATTGAAACTGCGATGAAAAGCGAAATTAAAGTGAACCCTTTAATAAAGAATTGTTTTTTAAACATTTCATTTTGTTCGATATTTAAATTTAACTTTAAATGAGTTATTTATTTAATTTTTAATCGCGAGTAACTATAATAGTTACTACCTCAGGTCTGAGATCGAAAAACAGATGAACACACGTACATTGCACTTTATTTACATAGAAGATGTGTAAACTAAACAGAACTCACCTCTTTCTCTTTAAACGCTTCGAAAAACTCCACGATGTCGGCAGCTGTTCCAATATAGACGAGAAGTAGCTGAGAAAGTTGGTCATGCGTCAGTTTTCCTTTTGGAAGCAGCCATCTTCCGAGTATAAGCAGCAGGAGTAGGAACTGTTCAAGAGTGCGAATCCATTGGTCAGAGGACAGGCTCAAAGGAATTCGAATCTCAATTGGCACCTGAAAACACGGGGGACGTGGAGACAAAGTATATGAATAAACTTTTTTTTCATTTTGATACAAGAATGAGCCGAAAATGCAAATTACAAGATATGGAGATACCAAAATCAAACCAGTACAAAAATTTAAATATTTGGGTAGTGTTTTATCAGAGGGTAGAAAGTGCGATATTGAAATCTGATGGCGCTTTGGGTTAGCCAAAGAATACTATACAGTTACGTGATATCTGTTCTCTTATATGGCAGTAAATGCTAGACGACCCCCTCAAAGATGAGGAAGAAACTTGAAGCAACAAAAACGTGGTTCTACAGAAGGATGTTGAGGATACCATGGACCGAATATGTGAGCAACGACGAAGTTTTAGATAAAATAGAAACATAAGGAAACTTATAGTTACATCAGGAAGAAACAGTTGAGATTTCTAGGGCACATAATTAGGAAAGAGGGCTTGGAAAATCTGATACACACAGGACCGACTTAAAGGCAAGAGGGACAGAGGAAAACAACGCATAACATAGTGAGCTTGTGTAAATGGATGGCTGAGCAAGGTTTAGGTGAAATATAAAGATGAAATTTTAAGAGCTACGAAGGACAGGAAATTGTGGAGAGCCATGATCGCCTACGTCCCGAGAGGACACGGCACATAAAGAAGATACGTTCATGAGTAAAATTACGGGAATGGTCGAATCGGCGGCTTACAAATTTGCTTCAGCCGAGTTTTTTTTTTTTTGTCGTAAAATGTTTCTTACAAATCAAAATTCATGATAAACATATGGCTATAGAGAAATAATAATTACTGGAACAATCTTTTACCATTCTGAGTGTTTGGGATATGCATGCAGCATGCACATACGAACACATAGAGTAAGTGCAAAAGATTCCACATATTTGTTTGGCTTCGTTTGTCAAGTTAGGCAAGGATGGCATCCATTGAGGTGTTCTTTTTAAAATGGATAGAATTTGATCCAAAGATCAATACTTATACAACAAATACAAAATTTATTTTTAAATATATGAAAGATTGAACATTGAAGTTATGCCCGAAAGTTTGTGGAGTTTTCCCCCACCTAGTCTGGCAAGAGACTCTCTAGATAGCGCTGCCCAGGACTATAAAAAGAATCTCTCTCTCTCTCTCTCTCTCTCTCTCTCTCTCTCTCTCTCTCTGAAAACTGTTACCCAACCACATGCTCCGATTAGATTTTTCCCCCTTTTCAACTATCCTTATATACGTGAAAATAATTTTCTTTCTCTTCTTTTGTTCTATACAAATATCCGTATGTAAAATTTCTCCACGTGTTGAAGCCATTTCTTGTAAAAATCTTGAATTCACTTTCTTCGAAATATAGCGATATTAGTTAGCTGGACCAGTCACAAAAATAGATTCGGACATTTATTTTCTCCTGATGATTACAGAACAAGCGGCCTGGACAAAGAGAAGTCATTGAATAAAGATAAATTACTTTTGTAGACAAAGATGACAAAACAAAGAGGACAACAACAATAATAACCAATATAATAGTGTAAATTCATTTTCATCATAGGCTTAGTTTTTATTACAATTCTAATCAACACTTTTTAAAAGAATAAACATTGCCGAGGAGTGAAGGTAGTTAAAATAATAGCGGTGTCAAGGCAAAAACCGTCCATTTAACACTCCGTTAATCTGCAAGCACGAAGGTCCAAGTTTGCCAATAATCTAATATTTGTTTTTATATATATATATATATATATATATATATATATATATATATATATATATATAAAATAAACAATGACAGCTTCCAGTCTGTTAAGATAAGATCAACTTTCTATATGTCTGAACCACCATTTCAGCGTTTTAAAAAAAATCTTAAACTACTTTTGAATCAGCAAAAATTTTACTGAGAAGAAGAAAAAGATTCCAATCAATTTAAATTCGGTTTGAAACATACAGATGCATTTTGCTTATTGGAAATATTAAATTTAACTTGGAATTAAAACTAGAATTAAACCTTTTAACGATTTTCAGAACGATTTTTCATTTTTTTTTTTAAATGCATTTAAACTTAGCGCCTTTTGTTCAAGGTATCTCTATAAAATTACTTCATGTTTTATATCATAAAATACAATAGATAATGTATGTCATATGTATCTGAAGTTGAAGATCAGTGATGGACAATGTAAGAAAAACAGACGAAGTTAATTTATTTTGGTAGCGGGGAGGGCGTTCTTTAAGATCATCTACCTCAACTGTATCTTGTACTTCTAGAGACTAGCTTCTGCTTTGAAGCTGTAAATTGCATATTTTCACCTTCGCCTGCAAACAATGAGAAAGGTTCTTGGATATTTGGGGAGATATTCGATCATCCGTCAGGATTGCTAGATTGAGCGAGAACGTATAAAATTGAGTGCCCTTAGAAAAAGTCCTTCTTTATGTGCTGTGTCGCCTGCCCACCCCCAGGATCTCCACAACTTCCTGTCTCTTGTAGCTCTTAATAAGTTGTCTTTCTGCTATTTCTCCTAAATCTTGTTCCGCCATCCATTTATTCAAGCTCATTAAATATGTTATGCACTGTTTTCCTCTTTTCCTCTTGCCTTCAATCTGTCCCGTGAGTTTCAGATTTTCCAAGCCCTCCTTCCTCATTATATTTTTCCTGCTATTAAGTATTAGTTTGTTTTTCGTTTCCATTTTCTCCAAAATTTCGTCGTTACTCACATGTTCTGTCTACGGTATTCTCAGCATTACTGCTACTAAATATCGAATTGACATGTTTTCCTCATTAGCAAATCAAGTTAGCCCAGCTTATTTTAAAAGTAAAATTTGCCTTTACTGTTTTCGACTTTAGAGTACCTTAGTCGAAAAATAGTAACCTAATCTAACAACCCCAGGGTAAGAGGGAACGAGTCATGTGACATTTCAGGAATTTTAGGAATCGGTCAAATGATTTTTAATTTGAAATGAGGAATCTATTGATGAATTTTTTTACAGAAATATAGGTTTCACCTTAATACAAGGAGAGACAGTCCTCAACTATACCCAATTCGTGCATGTGCGAGTGACCTCTCATCCCCGTCTCAGTATAGACCATCAGTGTAAAGTTCTTGAATCTATTGTTTTTTTTTATCAGCTCTATAAAGACAACCGCTTGAGCGACAAGCAGTAGGGATTTCGATCGACTCGGTCCACTGCTGATGCCCTATCATTACTCATAGAATCAGTGACGTATGAGACAACAAATACATCACAAGGACAATTGCATTAGAAGCTTTTGACGAGGTGTTGCATGGAGGGTTACTGCATAAGCTCTCTAGCTATGGATTCACTGAAAGTGTCTTCTTAATAACAAAGTCCTTCCTAACGGGTAGGTCCCTGAAGGTATGTTAACAGCCAATCCTGCGAGGCCCAAACGACCAGCGAAGGCGTCTCACAAGGCTCGCTTCTTGGTTCAACCCTCTTTCTACTTTACATAAATGAACTGCCGAAAGGTATACCCCGATCATTTATGATGATGATACAATAGTATATGTGTGCACTTCCAAAACTCTAAATGACCAGAGATTGGCAACTGATCTCTCATCTAACCAAGCTCTAACAGCTCGGTGGGGCAAAAACTGACTAGTCCCATTCAATGGCTCAAAAAGCAAACTAATAACGTTCCATCATCATCGAGCGGACACTGATTTTTTACCTCCAGTGATGAACGGGTGCTCTCTTAAGAAGGCCTCATGCCTTGAACGCCTATTGAGACTTAAGCTCAACTTGTAAATACGATCCATCGCTAAAGGTGCTGGGAATAAAATGTCTGGCTCCCTGTACCGCTCCAGTAAGTACCTGACTCCTCTTGATATTTTCTACCTTTACAAGAGCCAAATCAGGCCAAAAATGGGAGTACTGCTGTCAAATAGGGACAGGAGCAGCCCAGTTTACACTTTCCATTTTTCATAGATTCCAAAATCCTCACCGCGTTCTCGTGGGTGATGAATTATTTTTCGTTCTTTTCCCACAGGCGAAATGTCGCAAGACTCTCGCTGTTCTATCGCTATTTCCATGGAAACGACATTCTTTAGTTCCACCATTTCTAACCTTTACGACTAATACCCGCCATGCTAGCGAACCATCGCCATTCCCCCTTCGCATTCCATTGATCAGATCCACTTGAGCAACTTCTTAACACGAATCGCTCCTTTGTGGAACCGACTCCCAAGAGCATGCTTTCCCGATCGCTACATTCTTAACCTGTTCAAGTCTCGGATCAACCGTTAATCCATAACCCTCTACCTTGAGTGGCTTTTGGACCTTGCACAGAGTGAACACTATTGTAAAAAATGCGAGTGTTTGCTGTACAAGCGGTGGTCCACAAATCAGTCATGCAGACAATTTTAGTATTCGAGGAACATCGCTTCATCTCAAGGTTGCCAGATTGAGCTAACAAGTAGTGGATTGAGCAACATTTGAAAGCTCAGCCTACTAAGTTTTGAAGTAATTATTTTCTAAAGATCAAGTTATCTCGAGGTATTTTCTAAGTTACTCCCTTCCTTGCAAAAATCCCAATTAACGCAATTCAAAATTTCCCTCTCACCTCTGGCAGTCTTGTACAACCTGTTATTATTTTCTTCAATAACAATAAATAATAATAAAGCAACAAGCATTCCACGTTGTCTTCTGTGCAAAATTTATTTTCCTTCAATTTTTCCCGGTCCTTATCCGACAAGAATAATTTTCTCTGAAACACGATTATTTTGTTTTAGTTTATTAAAATTATATATGATTTTTCGGTGGAATGTTTATCCGAAAAGACACGCTTATTTCACAAGTAGAAAAATTCCCACCGGTGTGAGTATTCCAGCCGGCACTAATATTTGGTAAAAAAGGATAAAACTAGTAAAACATTACTGATGAGTAATGAGTTCAATACCATATAAGATGCCATATAAGATCCCTGCCCCAATTTATTTAATATCCCAGTTCTATGGCTTTCCTTTTGTGTACCAAATACAAGTGCCGGTACGATTAAATAAATTGCCTTCAATTTCTAACTCTCTCCCGGCACGGGGATTATTTGATACGGCACGATTATTTTGTTCCAAGAATCATTCCATATCAGAAAAATATGCACTTTACTGTTTATCTGAACCGGCACGCTTATTTTAGAAGTCGAAAAATACCTTTTTTTTGGAGGGCGGAGGTACGGCCATATCACGTTGAAACACTGGTTCTCGTACCATCACAGAAGTTAACCAACGTCGAACTTGGTCAGAACCTAGATGGGTGACCGCTCGTGAATACTAGGTGCTGTAAGCTTGGGTGTGCGGGTGATGTCTTGTATAACGATTCGGAATTGGAAATCAGAAAGCCGAGTTCCAATTCCAGTCAGGTTCGTTATATTGACTTACGAACAAATAACCTTGGGAAAGGTATGAACCCACCTCTCACCCCAAACTATGGGTTAATTAGTAAAACTTGTATCAGTAAATCATTATTCATTATATAAAAAAATCTCACAATCTAAAAATATTTTCTGGCTTTCAATAACCTTCAAAAAGGTTGATAAGCCGTAAAAAATAAATCTTGAGTTTTTTGTTTTTTTTTACTTTTATCGGAAGCGTTATTTAGAAATTTGCTTGATAAAATTTACAGCTTACCCCAAGGAATCCACCAAGGTCTGCGTGCAGATCTCTCGTCGATTCATTAAGTAGATTGTCAGTGGCATTGAAGTTAATTCTTTTGTCCATTTCGTAGAGTTCAAGGAACCAAATCGCCGGCACCACACTCAGCAGATAAATGAAAACGCTTGGACAGAACCTGCAGAAAAGTCACACTAATTAAAAACAGTTGCATATTTTTTTGTTTTTATTTTCGAACACGTTTATTCATTTATTTAATCTGAAATTCGAAGGCGATTTGTTGTTGATTCATACAGACCAGTTTTCTCGTCTTTCTTTTTATTACAACGTTCCAGCCGCTGTACTCTCTGGCCTTCTTTAGGTGTTTGCTGCATTCGGTAACATTTCATGAATGTCGAATGAAACCCTTTATTTGAACGATGGAGGTATATT